GTCCCTGGTCACCACTAATGATTGGTCTTTATACATTTGCCTTTTCTTATCTTTTTGTATAAGTGAGGTCATAGGATATTTATCCTTTGTGATTAGCTTATTTCACTCAGCATAATATCTTCAAGCTCTATCCATACTGTAGCATGTATCAAGACTTCATTTCTCCTACTGGCTGAGTAGTATTCCGTTGTATGTACGTACCACATTTCATTTATCCACTCATTTGTAGATGGGCATTTAGGTTGTTTCCACATTTTGGCTATTGTGAATAGTGCTGCAATGAACATTGGTATACAAGTCTCTGTTTGAGTCTCTGCTTTCAAGTCTTTTGGGTATATACCTAGGAGTGGAATTGCTGGGTCATATGGTAGTTCTATTTTTTGTTTTTTGAGGAACCACCACACTGTTTTCCACAATAGCTGTATCATTTTGCATTCCCACCAGCGATGAATAAGTGTTCCAATTTTCCCACATCCTCATCAACGTTTATTATTATTTTGTTTTTTTTTTTCTTTTAAATCTTAGCTATCATAGTGGGAGTGAAATGGTATCTCATTGTGGTTTTAATTTGCATCTCTCTGATGGCTAAGGATGCAGGGCGTCTTTTCATGTGTTTGGTGGTGGTTTGAATGTCCTCTTTGGTGAAATGTCTATTCAAGTCCTTTGCCCATTTTATGATTGGGTTATTTGTCTTTCTGTTGTTAAGTTGTCAAAGTTTTATATATAATTTTGTTACTAGATTCCTGTTGGATGTACGGTTTCCAAAAATATTCTCCCAGTAAGTAGCCTGTCTCTTCACTTTTTTGGTAAAGTTTTTTGATGAACAAAGGTTTTTAATTTTTATGAGGTCCCATTTGTTTATCTTGTCTTTACTCTTTGTGCTTTTGTTATTATATTAGATAACCCATTATTGAAAGCTAGGCCTGACAGTATTGCCCCTGCTTGTTTTTTTTAAAGAATTTTATGGTTTTAGTTTGTACATTTAGGTTCTTAATCCATTTTGAATTTTTTTGTGTGTGTGCATAGCGTGTGGCATGGATCCTGTTTGATTTTTCTGCATGTAAGAATCCAATTTTTCCAGCACCATTTATTGAAGAGACTCTTCTTTCCCCATCGAATGAACTTAGTGAAAAACTGATAGTCAAAAATCAGTTGACCACAGATGTCTGGGTTTATTTCTGGACTCTCAATTCTATTCCATTGGTCTATGTGTCTATTGTTATACCAGTACCAGGCTGTTTTGATTACTGTAGTTGTACAGTATGTTTTAAAGTCAGGAAGCGTGAGTCCTCCTACTTTGTTTTTCTCTTGCAACATTGTTTTAGCTATTCAGGGCCTCTTGCCATTCCATATGAAGTTGAAGATTGGTTTTTCTATTTCTGTAGT